CATGTGATAATAACCAAAACCCTTTTGAGTAAATTCTATAAACCAGAGTAATGTTTTTGGTGGTGTTTTGTTCTCTGAGCTGGATGGTTTGGTCGTGGAGCTTTCATCGTTCTTCTGAACGACATCATCAGCACAAACTTCGGATAGAAGTGAAGTGTTCGAATTTCTCCATATGTGTTTCACAGCTTGTTCTGTGCACCTCGATGTTGATTGGTTCTTGTTGACCTTAAATTTATCATTGTTTACTTCTTTGTTTTGGTTTTGTCTCCCATTGGTTTGATTTTTGTTCCTATATTTATGCATGATTTTCCTGATTGGTTGATAAATTGGATTGATTTCAATATGTTTGTTGATTGCTGATTGACCTGAGTGCCAAGCTTCTAAAGATTCTCTGGTGTTTTTGGAGTTTCCTCTGTCTAAGATTTCTACATTTTCCCAATCGAATGAATGTCCGTGGTTATCCACGTGTATTGATATAAGTGAAGAGATATCATGGCGTTTGACTGCTAATTGGTGTTCATGTAGACGTAGGTGGAGGGGGCGTCCGCTTTGTCTGATGTAGTGTTTGTCGCAGTTGGTACAATTTATTTTGTAGATGATGTTTGATTTGTTTTCCTTTGTTATTTCATCTTTTGGTTTGCATAGGATTGATTGTAATGATTTTGTTGGTTTGTGTGCCACACCTATCCCGAAGGTTTTCAGCAGTCTCGTTGTGGTTTCTGATATTCCTTGTATGTACGGTAGGGTGATCCTTTTGTTGATTTTTGTGTTTGATTTGGGTTCTGATGTTGTGTGCCGTTGGTGCTTTTTGATGAAGTTCATTGGGTAGCCGTTCTTTTGAAATATGTCCTTCAGGTATTTCTCTTCATTTTTTCGTGCTGCCAGTGTGTTGCAGTATGTCCTTTGCTGAAATCAGATAGCCATCGCCTGAGATATGCCATCTGTGAAAATACTTGTCCCTAAGTGTCATGTATAAAGTTGTTCAGGAATATGCAAAAAACAATATCCAGTTTATTGTTCTGTACAGGATCGTGAGCAACCTTATACCCTGAATAAAACGAACGAATCCAGAATACTCTGCATTTTTTAGAAATCAAGAATATATTTGTAAGTGCAATAAGACTCAGGCACATGACAACATGTGTGCAAGTTAAGGACGTCATAGTCATTTTACAGAAAGGGATATACCCTTAGATAACACGGACGTAGTATGTAGTGAGCAAAAGCAAGCTTGCTAAAGATAAACCCGAAGCATGTTATCAGTATGTGGGGTGTAAGCGTTGCATCGGTCACAAAGCAAAGCCGGTGTTATTGTGTCGAATAAGTTGTCGTTCGCAACTTACCAGTTGCCGTCAAATATTTCGGATGCACAATGATTTGAACCGCTTTATTGTAGCACCGTCCAAAATCTTGCTCAACCATCCATGCGACCAGAAATATTTGACTAATGGCCCATACCTTAAAAGATTAACTGATGAACAAATAAAAGTCATGATGCCTTTGATAACGACTGGAAGTCATAAGGATAAATATTAAAAGATTCAGGAGAGCAATTTGACAAGTCGATTACTGTGTAGTATGCCGAAAAATTGGTGAGGAAATTGTCAAAGATTTACTTCTGGGTAAATATATAGATCGTCGGATTTTGGTAATTTTAGCGACTTGTTATCTACTCGACGACCTGTTAAAAAGGTGAGCAAATTCTGTGGTGGAGAGGTCAACCAGGTAACAGGGATGGCACTCGATACACTTGACTAAATGGTTACGCGTATGCGTTTTTCAGTAATTGTATTCATAGACTACATAAAATGCTAATCGAGGTACGTGAAGGAATTTGCTTATGTGATGTTAATAGTCAGATTGTGACGAAATTTCGCCAGATTTGTCTTTGAGTGATCACTGGATAGCCACTTACCTACAGCAAAATTAGATGAAAATAAAACTGTTGTGGAACTGTTGTATTCGTACTAACTGATGATTCCTTTGTACTTGATTGCGCGCTTATTAAAACTCCAAATTAAATGCGTTCAGCTGTACTTATCTAGTTCTATCTACTTTATATTGCACTCTTCTGGGAATCCTAAGTTAGCATACTCATTCGAATACTTCTAATTATCATAGAAAAAAGCAAACAATCGTGTTAAGAAATCAAATAAACAATTAAAACGTCGATTATGTGGGAAAGATTTACTGCGTCTTTGCATGTGAGAGACGTACATATAGCAGAGGTTTAAGCAAAAAGCCTTTGGAAGCAACTTAGCATAATTTCAGCCAAAAAACATACTCTGGTTTGTAGAATTTACAAAAACGACTCAAAAGTGTTTGGTATATTATCACATGAAGCACGTAAACATGGAGTAAGTATACACTGGAATCAATAAACATATACTGACAGCAGAGATTCCCGCAAATATTCCACACACATAAATTACGATAATGAGACGCACTAAAACACCAAACACTGCTGTGGAAATTATAAGCCAGCGATGGACCACATAAGGGATCACATAAACTTTATAAGCAAAGATACTTGTTATTACTGAGTTAATCATGGCGTAGTTCATAACGATTTTCATCTTGAAAATTTTTCATGTGAATTTTTTATTATTTTATTTACGATGTAGATAACAAATTAAATTCATATAATTTTTACTACTTATATTAACTTTTATGCTGAATACGTACAATTTAAACATTCTCACTGAATCTCGAAATCATATAATGTGTTTTGAGTGAACATTTATCTTTCAGCAATTTCTACTTATTTTAATATCAAATGCTAAAATCTATGATTATAAATAATTAATATTATGATAGAATAATGAAGAAAGTACCCGTAGAAGTGTGTTCAGCTTGAAGATGGTTTTTATTGCAAACTGTTATAACTTCCTCTCTGCCAAGTAATTCAGTGCAATAGTAATGTGTGACTTAACGTAGTTAATGAGTTCACGAGTGATCTCAATAAATTAATGCAACGAAATCACTCTTCAGTATTATGCTCTCAAAAATCTTAATCTAGACCCTAGCTGTTAACAAGAAAGAAGATAAACCGATGACTCTGCACGATGGGGTTGGCAACCCCATCTCATAGAAAAGAATCTTGTTCAGAAAGATCACCAACCAACGAAGAATATATGTTAGAAAAATTACAACTGTTTTTTACATAGATCCACTTTGTATTGACTATTGATTAAATCTAACTAATTAGGATTTAAATAAATGTTGAGACGTGAGTTGATTATTGATTTCGAATAATTATCATGCTTTATTTTAAAGTATCTGATGTCAAGAACATCAAATATTGGTTCCTAACTGGATGGAGTGGTCGGTCATTGGTAAATATCTTTTAAAAGTCCCAAACATGAATAGGGCAGTTATTTTACGCATACTTTGGTTTTCAACAGTTCTCTAGTTGAAGTCACTCCATAAATGACTAACAATTAACTATTTGTCGGATAAACTTGCTGTGAAAGTACTCATATATGTGTAAAGAAACGAAATAAGGATTAGATTATCCCTTTTTTATTTTCATTTAGACAAAAACGGACATCACAGAAAAATTTAGTAACATTCCAGCATGCAATTTTCTAAAGAAATAAACTATTGCAAGCTTAAATTTCAGTAATCCATACTTATCTAGAAGTCATTCCATTCAGTTTTGTAATATCATTAGCAACATACACGTTGGTAGATACAGACTAACTGAATAAGGTATACCTGATTATCGTAGCCAATAGGGAGAGAATCCGGGTGACAATGTAGGAATCGGTCACAACGAAGTAGATATATTCAGTTTTAGTCTACCCTTAGATCTTGGGTTTTGAAATTGTCTGATGTTTTTCTTCTTGAGTTATACTGTCTGTACCTAGTCTTTTATATTATTATTAATACTGTTACTACCTCTACTACAGTGGGATTTGTCTAGATCAGTTTACCTCGTTGTACTGGTGTGGTGTAGCAACTCGTATTAATGCACATATTTGCTAGGTTTTACATTGCTTATGACAGATTGACTTTTTTTAGCATTATATTGTCAATAATAAATATTGATGTCTTTTTAACATTTTGGTGAATGAAATGCGAATATTTTCAGTACGGTAATAAATATACATATATATTTATCGAAGGCTAGTACTGGGTAAACTAAAACAATTGTAATAATTAGTTACATTACTTACTTCTTACTTACGCCTATTACCCTTAGTGGAGGAGCATAGGCCGCCCACCAGCATTATCCATCGAAGACCCTAATAAATTCATTAAATACGTAAAATCCAACTACATTTATCAATATTTTTTCGTAACCTTTTCGTTTGCAAAAGTTGTCTTCTGATTGGCTAAGAACTGCCTGCAAATTCGTCACGGTTGTTACAAGCTCGTCCTTATACTAAACTCTTATCAAACATGCTATTATACTTAGTATTTATTAATTATATATATGATTGGAAGCTCACTAGAAAATACCCATCTATTAGTGTTAAAAGTAGTGATATTTAAATAAGTATGGTTGCTTAAAACGTTTCATGATTAGCTGAGATCTATTTGTAGGAATTTGGTTGGGAAATGTTAGACTTTTTAGTTTTCTACTTCTCTGCTGTTTGATTCATGAAGACTGCATTTTAGTTGTATTCAAATACAGCACAGAAACTAGCTTAGGTCATTTGTATTCTAAAAAGTTATTTCCAGGTCACATCATTTGTTCGATTAAAGATTTGATGTAATTTAATCGTCAATAAATCGAAAACATTGAACAAACTAGTACTTATGTATAAACTGAAACTTGGAATTGTAATTTTACAGTGAATGAATGCCTTGTCCGGATTTTCTGACAAAATATTTAAGGTTCTGTACTAAAATCCAGATACAATAATATAAATATGATTGGTCAATCTTGAAGAAATCGAACGTCTTGTATGTGATTGGAGAGCTAGTAAATATGATCTGTACATTAACAAGCTTCTATATGACGCAACCAATAATTTATACAAGAGCCACTAACACGGACATATTAGTTGGTGTAAAAATATCTTTCATAAAGACACTGTTTTGAAGGAAAAACATTATTTTAGTCACAACTTTGGTTGTAACGATAAAATCGCCGTAATGTGAGTAAACATTTAGTTATATTTGTTATTTCTAGTATACGTGTACTTAGTGGTTACTCAATATTCGTAGAATTTGTTTGTCACGGACTCATTTCAGTAAAGGTAGCATTAAAAACTAAGGAGGACTAGATAGGTATTTGTTGTAGCTCAAGATTTCTCACCCCTACCTGCCCGTAACCCTGCTCGCTAAAAGACTTGAAGGTTTTTTATTCAATCCGTAGCAAGGTAACCATTGAGCAATACTGAAGAGTTCCATACTTGAATGAAACAGTTGTTCAATACATCCTGATTATCAATGGTACATCAAGTTAGATAAATCTATGACGAATATACTATAAAGATGAAAATAATCTCCACAAAACTAGTTTATCAAAACTCGCTATTTCATTTCATAGTAGAGCTAAACATTTGAATACACCAACTTTTTTATTGACAGTTGGAAGTTCGAGAGAATTGTTAGTCTAATCTCCCTATATCATGTAAATATGTTCACATTCACTACTAAAAGACAATAAGTTTAGTTACGGTATGCTATGGGAATCGATGACCTTTTTGGATAATAGTTATCACTTAGTGTTTCACGTTCGTTTTGTTGATATAAGCATTTTCTCATATGCTTTGTTAGCGGTCATTTGATTATTCTTAAGATCATCTCTGTTTTTGTATAATCATCGAGAATAACCAACTGATCCCAAAATAAAAAGCTACAATTACAATCTTTTGTGTCTTCATTCTTATGTAAATATGACGAGTTGAACCAATGCACGTATGTGTCAGGTTCTACGTTGCTCATGGCTGACTAATATAAGTATTAACAGGCAGTCTTTGAGATCCTTTGTTTAGTGATCGTGGGTTCTTGTCAACGGGGGATACCTGAAGCTTCAAAATTTACTCTAGGTTTGATATTTTTATCAACCCTTTCAAAACTAGTCATTTAAGTAACCAATAAATAATTAAAGATTTTTCAAAGTTTTACATATACCTATTTGAAATTCACCAAATATGGTATGGGTCCTGCCAACCGCTTTATAATTGAATTTTGTAAATCTATTGCTTGGATGCTTGTTACTGACTTTCTAGTCACTACCTATAACCCTAAATTACTTATACATTTCAACTAGAACGACAGAAAAAAGGCGTGAAATATGAATGAAAGCTCAACAACAAAGCCAGTTTATGTACAGAAAGTCAAGTTTATTTATGGGATTTCCGACGACTTTGATCTTCTAGAAACTCTTGAAAATATACTAAATATGGTGGCAAAACAAGTAATTATTTATTCAAAATGTGTTGCATAAGTTATTTCTCTAAACGCTTTTATGGGAAGCTTCTATTCAGTGCTGATTAAGTAAAATGTTTCTAACTTTTTTCTGGACATTTAGAAACTTCTTCGAGGGGAATTTATGGACTCACAACATACATTAGATATTACTTTTGATTTAAAAAGTTGTTATACTTTGTATAATTTTAACTACATAACTTTATCTTCTATGTATATAGAATATATCTGTTGATGGCTAAAATTGGTAAAGGTGTACAAATCCCACTTTCGTGGATTCCACAAAGTCATGGAAAATATCCAGAAAATGCCATTTCTGTTGGTGATGGTGTTTTTGTTGTTCGGTCTAGGTTTTTGAATGAAATGCTTCCTGGAAAACTTGTACCTAAAGAAGGAAAATGTTACTGTTCTCATGGAGGTGAAGAAATAGAGTTAACAGAATATGAAGTTCTATGTGATACTTCATTGCATGAACTTGGAAAAGGGTATGTATGTATATAAAACTAGTATATGTATATAAAAATGTATATAATTTTTGTTATAACATTACAAAGACGAAATTTCATGAAAAGGTTTCTTTTCTTTCGATTTGTTATGAATCTGGATACGAGACTTTATAGGTTCAATTCTTTGTGAAATTTAGACCAGTCTTCTATCATGAAGGCATACTTATAGAGATTAGAACATGAAGTCATATCTTATGAATTATAATTACAATTGGTCGGTGGATCTTCAAAGGATATGGTTAGATAAAAAGGGATATATATATATATGTATGTTTAAACAGCCTCGAGAATGAAATAATTGAAAAGAAAATTCTTTTGCTGAACAAAATCTCTGTGTTTACTACGCTTCACTCGACTTATCCACAGCCGGAGGGAGATTCAAAGGAAATAAGGTTACGGTAGCAAAATATTGGTTTATAATGAATTTACGGAAGAAGCTGCTAGTGCATTCTCAAACCATCCACTAACATTGATTGGCTGGAAGAAAACCAGTCAAGACAGTCAGTGAGAGGTTGTCTGGATTTTATCTTTCTAATAGTTTTCCATTATCCTGTGACCAAGTAATAGCAGTTTGTAGTTGGATAGAAGTAACCTGCTTTATAGTTTATAATTCGAAAGGGATTTTGAAAAGATTCTTCTTCATTATTATTTTTACCACTTATTATCAAATTAGATATGAATGGGTAAAGTCTTCTGGTGGAGAATATCCAAAACGTGCAATTATTGCTGGGATCGGTTCTGATGGAAAACCACTCTATATTGCAAAAGGATACGTTGAAAATAATGTATGCGTTGGGAAGGTGAGGAAAAGCATCAGATTTCATTCTTTATAATAATAATAATAATAATAATAATAATAATAATAATAATAATAATAATAATAATAACAATGAAACTAAAGTCCATACCTTTAAAAAGCTATTTCACTTCATCTTAAGTAAATATACCATGAGTCTCTCTTTCAGTATGGTTGCTGTAAATCTAATGTTATCTTTGACTATAAGTTTCAAGATGTTCATCGCTTGCTAGTAATATTTGAGTTTTATTGTTCTTTGAATTGGTTTGCTTCTAAACGATTGATCACTGAGTAATGACTAGTGTCATTTTTGACCAGTTTTTTAGCACTAATCGAATTCTATCGAGTGGTGATGTTGTTACTAATCTAAGTAAATCGATATTGTGTGAACTACGTACGAATTTTAGACGGTCAAAGAAAATCAACAGGAAACCCTAGACATGGACAATCCGACTAACAATTTGACGTAAAGAAAAATAACATCGGTCACTATTTAGCGATGAGTCAGTTGTAAATATCTCAGCCCCATAATAGGTGCTGATGGGCGGCCTATGCTCCTCCACGAAGAGTAACAGGCGTAAGTAAATAAGTAATAATAGGTTAGCTGAAGTTCGAGTGGCTCAGCGGTAACACCTCGAACAATCAAGTTGGATGACGTTAATTTGAATCCACTATTTACCGTAACGTTACAGGTACGTCTGAATAACGGACTCTAACTAGAAATAGGTCTTAGACGAGAAGGGTTTCCCGTCGACCACCTCTAACCACCTGACATATCAGTTGATTAAAGAGTTGGTTAAAGTTAGCCGCAAAAGTTTTTACAACAAGGTTGATATTTGTCAGGAAAATATATCTTGAAGGACATAATTACTTACAACTCCTAATCAAGGGTGCAAACTATTCAGTATGGGGAAATATTATACACACGTTGTATTCGTCACACATCGGTCTCATTTAGGAGACCATTGAAAGCCAGTAGGGATTGGGACTCAGTGGGAGTGCCCGCTCATGATCTCACCGGTGATCGGATTCAGGGTCCTCAGGTCTTACTACAAACGCTTAACCATTAGGACTTCTGGGTTCGATAACTTACATTCCTAACTTAGTTAAATTCGTTATATTGCGCGACCCTGTCATTGGTGGATAAGTGCGTCTATTGTCACATGTTTGTACACCACTTTTCACAGCGGCTAGGGTTCTACTCATAGTGGAGATGAGGATGTTATCCAGTGCTCCCTGGTTTTCAATGGTGACAGAATCAAGATCTATCCGAGAAGAGGATAACTTGCAAATCAAACTAATCTCGAAAAATCTTCTTCCAAGAAAATAACATGTGTTATGATCGCCTAGTCTTTAGTGCTGAATATCTCCTGTAGATTTAGGTTGAAATGTGGATACTGAATTTTTCATTATAATTAGTATACAATAATGAGAATCAAAATTCAGTTGAGATTTTAAACTTGATTCGGTCAACAGTTATTATACTGTGTTTTGATTATACTTGAGTCATTACATATTCAGTAATAAAGTGTATTTTAGGGAGTATATTTAAATCAGCTTCCAAAACACTGTTTATTATCACATTTTTTAAATCGTCTTTTAGTTGCATGAAGGTCATGTATGTGCCTATATGCCATGGGGTCGACGGGAGAATCCGATTCCAGACTATGAAGTACTTGTATGGAAAAAGATAAAAAATTAAATGATGTCACATTCTCATTAAATAAAATAACAGTTTTTTGTTATTTTTGAATTTAGAAGTGTTTTTTTTCTAATTTCTGGTTTCCATCATAAGCTATAAGTCGATGTGTTGAACGGGTTTTTGGTACTTTTCAATATTTACATATAGAAATGTTAATTCACAATCGATTTACCTGTCTGAACAGAATTAAATCTTTACTCTCATGAGGTAATTATTACGCTCCTAGTACATGAGAATTGGTAATTTACTGATCAGTTATAATAGTAATGAAAGCCTTTTAGGTTAAGTGGTTAAAGATAAACGATAGATATTCCTGAACTTTGGTTTCGTGCTAGCAGACACTCATCAGTAAAAAATATATATCTATAGTTTTGGTGGAAACTGGTGCTCTCCGTAAATTTCACAATATTATTAAAGATTACATTATTTTGTTTGAGATCATGAACCGACTGATGTTAGACCACCATTAAAAATCTGAAAGCACTGGACAGCCGTTTCGTTCTATTGCGGGATTTCAATGATCTCAATCAAAAACTTAATAATCTCCACAACCCCATACTGACGATCACATTATTATTTAACATCGTAGTCTCATGGGAATTTATTTCATAATGACCGAAGATAAATCAACGCTTGTTTATTCTCATATTTCATATGACATTAAAACTAATTTACGCACTGTTTGTTTCAACATAAAAAATCCATTATTTCATGTCCAAAATATAGAATGTCATCGATGATGAACATATCCATAATAACATTTATTTCATTCATTATTCAACTACGTTAAACAATGTGAACCAACTTAAATGAAAAATAGCACTTATTTAGTACATACCAATGATTAAAAGATTAATACCTATGCTTTTAATAGTATACTAGATGATGTGAGTTTGTACATGTGAGGAAAATCATCCTCTTTCAATATTCAATAAGTGCACACCATTAATTATTTCTCGACATTATTTCAATGTCACATATAATAGTATGATTTTTACTGGTGATTTCATCATTTTGATTATCTAAATCTATTTAAATATGTTCTCTATGAACACAACGCTGTAGTGAATCTCAACCTGTTGAATGAGGACAGCAAGTAAAATGAAAGTTAGAGCTTGAAATGATATCTTCAGCGAAAAATTAGGCTGTTTAAAAGAGCACTCACACTATATAAACGGATAAGTACTAGATATGACGCATGTATTAAACATTTAAATCCAGATGCATCACAAAGTTACGGACACGTATCCTATCCAGATCGTAAAGAGGCTTACTTAAAAAATTTGTGCAAAATCTCCACGTAAACCCAGTAGAAAAATGTTGTGATGATGCGATTACGAGTTAACTTAGTCTGCGAATTGTGACCAAAGACCAGTAAACTAGCGTCCCAGCCCCGCTAACTAGAGAGAGAAGTCGAATTCCGAACGGGGAAGTATATTCCGCAAAAAGCCAGAAGCACGAGCGATAACAACAGACACAAATCAAAACGTATATATGCAGTACAAAACCGTCCCTGGAAAGCGTTACAAAATACCATACTAAAAGACACAACGGACCAATAGTGCTTAAGATTCTCCCAAGTGGAAAATACGACATGAAGGCGAAAAGAGCGCTTTTGGCGCGAAAACACAGAAATTCAAATTTTCAAAATAAAATTACAAAATTAGGACCTTTTCCAAGTGAGTTCTGGGGATCTAACGTCCCCAACAAAAGACGTAATAATAAGTGTTGAGTCCGAATGAAGAATAAATGAATGGTAACTGCTAGGAATTATTTATGGACTATTATTACATATATTTCTATTGAACAAGTATTAAGTAACTAGATTATACATAATTATATTTCTGTTATTATAAACTTTCATTTGACCTATGGGCTATTATCATACGATTTATTATTCTTAAGTTATTCCCAGCCTATTAGTTACAGTCTTTCACACTCACAGCCACTTTTTGGCTTGATCTTGTATTTTCTATTTTATAGTATGGTGCCTTTTTGATATACTTGTATATAATCTGAGTGTGTCTGAAATGCATGATTCATACAATGAAATCTGATATTGTATTCTTGACTTAAACGGACAGGACTAGGCGAGAGGAACTAATAACAACCCAGAGTTGAATCTAGGCTGTTCGTGCTGGTTAATGAATCATTGGTCTGGTACAGGGTCAAGTTCATACAAGTTGGTGTTCTGATTAGCAAGCTTATCAGGGCAAAAGTCATAAAAATAAGTATCCTCAAACTTAAGTAACAATGAATTCATTGAGTCAATAGGACAAATGAATATATGCAATCAACTTATCTGCGTTAAAATATCAATTCACTTTGGAAGTAAACTAATCAAATGTATTAAAGTAGATGAAAATTTTTATTTTTTATTTTTGTAATTATTTTTTAATTAATTAATTCAATGTAAACATGAAAATACACATGTCAACTTGAACATTAAAAATTTAAAAAAAATATGTTGAGTAGTTTATCAAGATTATTCAATTATGAAATTAGTTCTTTTAATGAACTAACCATTGAATGATTGAATGAATATTTCACCACATCATTGTACTTCCACTAGTGTGTGTGTGTGTGCATATATATGTGTGACCACCTTCTACATAAAGCCTTTAAACTTATTCTGAGTACATGCTTAATGTAAAAAACTTTGATTAATACAATATTCAAAAACATTGTAAACTCATTAATTGTATTTATCGTAATGGCATTCAACATTTAAGTAATCTCATAGAAACATGTAAAAACAAATCATCTTAAGTGTTTACATTTTTCTTGTTGTTAATATGAATGCATGAATTTCTATTAATCTTTGTAAAAGAAAACGTTTCATCTTAGTATAGGACTTTTCAGCAGTGCGCATCCACAAACTCGCCTTGTGAGATCCTAACCCAGGACCTATCATTCTCTCTCACGAATGTTTAATCTCTAAACTACTGGACCGGTATCTAGCGCTATTAATGTCTAACTTCAACCAATCCACGAAATTGCACCACTGTCCAAAATTGTATTCAGTGAGTTACTATCTCATAACAGACCTGGTTGAACTCCACTGGTCACGACTTCTAGGTTTTTCATGGTGATCTAGCTCATGAATTCAACTATCAAATTAGTAGAGATTAGTTTAATTTCATTGATTTTGTAAAAAAACATTCATCGGTTTACTTTGTTTACTCTTAGTATTCAATAAATCTATCGGCGATACTCTAAGTTATGGAAGAACTTTGAACGAATCTTAAGTGGCCTTGGGAAATATTAGACAATCAGCGAACAGTCAGTGCAGAGTAAAAATATATTAAACAAAACCAAGGAAATAAAGTGGATACACTTCTTATACGTGGTTCAAAAACTTGTCAAGCTTAGAAAGAGGTTCAGAGGTTCTAAAATCGTAAAGCATTCAGTAGAGGAAATCATCTATACGGCTACAGAATAGTCGGTCTCTGGAGCCATGATGAAGTCTCAAAAACTCTTTCAGTCTCGACTACATAGTTACAATATTTCTTATGTGTATTTCGGCTGTTGAATACACAAAATGCTACTTGTGGATAACAACACGATGCACATAACCAAGCCTATGTAGGAGTCTGTACGCTCTCCAAACATCCGAATATATTGTAGTACCTGGCTGCAACCAGTGTTACTGGTGCTTTTATTATCCAGTTCGCGATGGTTGTCATAATTTGCCTTAGTTAGGAATTATATATGGGGTTTTCATCACGAACTAACATCAGCTATGATGCCAGCAGTTTATTTAACCAAAAGGATGAAAGGCTTTCTCATTAAAATGAGATGAGCAGGTTGTAAGAGATGACCTAATCAAAAGCTTTTACTCTTGATTATGTTACTAATTCACTATTATATACATTTTTTGCTTTCAGACAAGTATTTCATTAGACTTTACATAATTCTATTCACTTATTTCACAAATTTATATATATATCAAAGATATATAAGGAGAGTATTAGACACTTACTGAAATACTGTATTCTAGGAATTCCATTTTATTATAAACTAATATTGGCTAGAGCCAATATTACTATTATTATCATTGTGAAAATGAATCATCATTTAAGTGAATAAACGAAACGGAAAGCTGATACCATGATCTATGTGTATGGGTGGGTATGAGAGTGTGTGCATATTGAAGTGAACAAACAATGCATATCAGAGAGTATTTGATTATCTTGTTTTATTTCAAGTTATTTACAAAGTTTCATGTTTTATTTATTTATCGAATAATAAAATCAAATATTTATAGACAAATATTAGAAAAACTGTTACCAACGGCATTTTTTTCTTCTGAGAACTTACACATAGCCTTATGTATAAAAACCATAGTAATTATGGAAATGGAATTACTGTATTAACGAAAGTATAGAGTAAGTAACTCATTGTAAATTGATAATGTTGGGATAAGCCAAAGATGTTGGTTATCTCAAATAATATTTATCTATCAGAATATTGTTACAGATATCCTATGACATGATGTATTCTCTGTATACAAATATTAAAATAAAAATCATAGTTCTTCTTGGAATATTTATGATAATTTCAAGTGATACATGTGTTCATAAGTGAGTGATTATCAAAATGGAATTTAATAGTTGATATCATAAGTCAATTGAAGCTAGACTATCATGGAAGACCTGGACGGCCGTTTTGTTGTATTGTGGGACTTCTCAGCAGTACACGAGGCGGGATCGTGTTTGCGCTTTGCTGAGAAGTCTCACAATAGGACGAAACGGCCGTTCAGGTTTTCTATGGTGGTCTAGCTTTGATTAATTCATGATATCAACTACTAAGTTACTATAATATCCACAAAACCCCTTTCTGATACTAAAATTGAATTTATCAGTGTTTCATTGGAAAGCCAGTTATCTACGAAACTACATTGAAAAAAAATTACAGTTGACATGATATAGGGATAATCATTTGGACCGATGAAATTTACGAATAAAAAGTATGATTTGAAAAATCGATATAAAAAGGCTAGAATTCAACCTATTATAGTTTCCATATCCTTCGTAATCATTTAGTTGTTAAATGACTCCTAATCACACTTATTGTTGAATTGAATATTCTGTTTAGTTGGGTGTTATTTTGTTAGAACTCATTCTTCTAGCTTTTGGTCTTGTCTATGATACCAATATAAAAGAAGCTTGGTTATATGGTTAATAATTTGTGATCAGTTGTTTTTATTAAAACAGTTGTCAAGTTTGTATTATATTAGTCCATTATCCACATTGTAAATAGACACTGTTGGTAATGGAGCTTGAGCATCTGGGCTACCTGTTCCTGCCATCCAGATATTTCAACAAGTTATCTATTTTTGTTTGTTTTAATATATCATTATGTCTATTAATCGCACAACCTATTCTGCTGCGTTTCTGAAAAATGTACAACCTTTCGTTATCAAAGTTACAAAAAGCTCAAAAAGAGAGAATATGGTTGCTGGCAATATACAACGAAAAAAATGTACATCATTCCCATGTTCATTTACCGGACTGATGACATCTAGCTGGCGACCACTCAGTATTTATCGCGAGGACCGACCAAGAAGAAAGAAACGGAAACTTGTTGAAATACTTCGTGCTGAGAATTCTATATTGTACCAATAATATAATATTGAATAAAGCTAATAATAATAATAATATTTGTATTGAAAATAAATTTTATCATATGACTCTTTTCAGTGCCCATCATCCTAACCAGCTTTTATCAGTGACGTTATGTTACGGTCGGAGATAAGATATTTGTCCGTGAATTCGAGTTAAGGATAATCGTTTTCTTTCACTGTTTGATAAAAGTGCTATATCTAGTATTTTCAAACATTCTTCCGTTCATTTTGTGTCAGTGCCAATAATACGGGGATTGTATTTCAGTCCTCTATAGCTATCAACATATGTCTTCTGTGAAGATGTCAAATTACTGGATTTAAAAAGCGAATACAATGAAAGTTAGTACTTAAAAGGAAGTCTTCAGTGAAAATTGTGGTTTTAGATGTAGCACTCATCCACTAAATGAATGAAAAACGATACCCGAAAACGCTTGACGCCACACTTATCAAACACTAAGAAATGGGTAATCTACAAATTCATAAAAGTGTATCGTAACCTGAAATACATGTAAACAATTGAATATTGTAGGTTCATTCTGAAATGATTTCACTGTAAAAATTACGTCTTAAGTCAGTATTCAAGAAAACAGTTTTTATAACCCGTTCATAATATACATAATATTTATGGGCACAAAATGCTTTCAGTTATCAGGCAAGTGCTTCAAACATTATTCAAAACAAAGCAGAAACACGGTAGTGGTAGTGTGGGAAGTAAGTGTCAAAATATTGATCTATGAACCGACGTTCCATTGTAGTGGCTGGTACTTTACCAAGCTCACATAAGTTATTTTATCTTCTGGGCAGACCAATTTATTCGTTTTTTCTCAAGCTAAATTTCGACCTTTTCAATTACTCACTTATTAACACTGTGTTCATTACTTACCCTATTCATTACATGTTTGTAATTTATTTGCCTGAATATAAATATCGAGTCACGCTTGATCAAAGCAAGTTGGCTCACTCGCCTTCTCCGCATCATTTCGTTTTCCAGTTTCCAATGTCATTCGCTGCTTCGCTTTCTCCACTTTGTTTCTTTGATTGTCTCTCCAGATGAGTGAGTATATAAAAAAATACGTATTCGAAATTTATTCTTCTGTCTGAGTTATTTCATTCTGTTATTCTCTAACGCGAACTAAGCCGATACAATATATGAGGGTAGCCGAGATGTATATTTCGATAACAGTCAGAATACAGTTTAGCTGAAGTCAGAAACTGAGCCACTAAACCATCATTGTTTTGTGATTTTAACGTAATGGCTGATTTTAAAGTTTAATTAAAAGGATTGCGAAATATTTTAATCTGCATTATGTCCTAACTCATTCTATTTATCGCTTTTTGGTAAAATTTTAAAAAGTCTTCACGTATTTTATTTTAGCAAAAAAATATAAATATATATTTATCATGGCTAAAGTCGGTCGAGGTTTGCAAATACCACTTTCATGGATTCCAGGACGTGATGGGTTTTGTCCAGCTGGTGCAGTTTCTGTTGATAACATATGTGTAGCACGAAGTAAACACAGTGGGGAATTATTGCCTGGAAAATTAGTACCAATGAATGGAAAATGTTATTGTCCTTATGGTGGAGCAGAATTAGAGTCTTACGATTATGAAGTATTGTGTGAAAGTTTTATTCCTGGTTCTTGCAAAGGGTAAATTAATGATTGTTTTCGTATATATATTACTGAATGCAAAGTTGTACATGATGCATTAAACCCTGATGATAGGATGAATGATCTAATGGTGCATTGTACTGACATATCAATTCACAAAATGTATTGTAAACATGGATGTAAAAGTTGATAGTAAGACTGTCATCATGAATTATAAACCTAACACTCAATTATGAAAATACATTTGTCAGGTGATGTGTAAAACAAACCGAATTATTGAGCACTAAATTTGGAAGTCCTGTTGTAGCATACATAACACAAATACGAACGTAAAACATTTGATTAAATAGATTAATTTATTTGAGAATACTTAACTTGTAAGAATTACCAACTTTTCTAAACATGAAATTCGCAAGCAAACAGAATATTCAGTAAGCATATAGATATGAATATTACGACAGTTTCTAGTCTTTTTTAGTTCCATTGAATATTAAAAAGGAGTAATGAATCAAAGAAAAGATGTCATTATTTTCTTGGTGATTTGACAAAACTTAAATTAATAATTTTCTTCATATTACTATAGCAATGTAAATTCTTTTTATAGATATCGTTGGGAAAGAGCATTTGACGGTGATGTTCCAAAAAATGCAATTGTTGCTGGAATAGCTAAAGATGGTGAACCATTGTACATTGTAAAAGGTGTTGTGAATGATGAAACATGTTTTGGAAAGGTAAACAACTACCTACATATTTCATTGAGATCGCAAATCGATGCAAGTCAAACTAACATTGAAAACCTGGAAGCACTATACGGACCTTTTATCTTGTCATGGAACTCCTCAATAGTGAACATCTGCAACCCCACAACAAGGAAGATGGTTACTCAATATCATGAATTGATTAAAGTTGGACGTGAAATGTATCGAATTCCTGTTCAATAGTCTAGAAGTTGAGCATTCCCTCGACAAATCGGAACCTATGGGTTCGATTCCCGGTTATTAGGTCGTGGGTGATCACTACTGAGGAATCCCATACGAGGGCGAAACGGCCGTACAGTACTTTCAGGTTTTCAATTGTTGTCGAACTTAGATCTCTTTGTGATTTTAGTGAAATTCAATAATCTCTATAACCCCACACTTGTAACTGCATGTCTTTTTTTAATAATTTTCAGATACCAAAATTGCCAGTCTAAAACTTGCTAGTTGTTAGGTTTCTGTTAACCATTTTTGCTTATTGTTGTGCTTCAAACTGAAAAAAATACTAAATATTCATGCTTGCTTGAGTGTAGAATCACAAAAAAGTCTATTTCTACTTTTAAATTGATACACGGTTATTAGATAAGAATATTCAACTGAAATTTTCATAAGCTTCAGTTCCTCAGTTTTTTTTAAATTGAAGTAATAATATGACACTACTGCACAGTGATTACAGATTTACTTAATATTTAAGGAAATTGTCAGAATGCAAATTTTAGTTAAATGATTATCAACTTTAATACTTAAATGTCTTCTTCAACAGCATGTTACTACGAAAAGTAAATCATGCAATTACGAATATGTTTTAAATGGTTAAAACGCTGCCTTTTATAGTTTCTAACAAACAAAAAAAAAGAAATACTAACTCAGCAAAATGGTCTCAACAAACTATAATCATTCAAGTCATTTATAATAATTTGTGATGACGTTTCCTGACAAATATCCCTTTAAAGGATCCCATATTTTTATGACAAACTAAGCAAACAATTGGATTTCAGAGGAACATGAGTAGTTTCCACAACTCATTAGTCTAATAGTATGAAAGCATTTTAGTTTATTTCCAAATCGAGTTGTTGGTTTCAATGAACTAAAAACACTCACATATATGACTGGTTCTGATTCAGTGGCAAACCAGTTGGAGTTATAGTAAATTTCTAACCTAATGAAATTAGGTATGGAACAAGAACCCTAATGATATTTTTACAAAAAAACTGTACAATTTAGTTCCTCATTTACTCGAATCCTTAGGCGAATAATAGTGGTCCTTACAATGTATTACCATCTGTCAATTAGTCTAACTATTTAATGTAACTTTTATCTGGTCCTTGGTGCTGGCAAAATTCAGTCGATCAAGTTGCAATATGGTTACTTATCGACGTGACCCCACATTACATACACTATGTTTTTGGCTACTACTTGGTGATCAATAAGTATGAATGCTTTTTGAATGAGTGACAGAACGAAACCTACTTCGAATAGAGTTTCCTATCAACAACATCCAACCACAAAACATTGTGTTTGTGGTGAAGTTCCGTTCTCTGAACTATATGGTTTACTCGTGAAGGCTTCGTTGTACTTCTGAACAACAATGAAGGCATTACGACTAAATCATCCAGTACAGAGGACGAGAATCCATCCAAATTATCTACCTGAGCTATAAATTTTCTAAACCATTGTGATTATTCATTATTTCAACTACACGGATGATTGACCGATCAACTGATTGGTTAGCTGACTGAATACAGGTGATTCCTTCACGTTATACATCCATTCTTGACTTTTTTATCTTTATTTATATATTTCAGCTACACGAAGGTCATTCATGTGCCTACTTACCATGGGGTGGTAAGGAATATTCAGTCAATGAATATGATGTACTTGTGTGGCAGAAACATTGAGATTTAAATTTTTAAATACAGTTTTGTACCGGAGACATCATTAGCTTCATACATCAGATGTTCTTTTCTTTTTTACCATGCCATTTTTTTTGTTTGCAGTTTTTGAAAATGTATGAAAATAATACATCTTAACACAGTATTAATCTATTATCTTATTACTGAACCTATTGATGAATCGTGATATCCGGGGAAACGAATGCGAAACCTGTGGTTAGAGCACACATATACGATATTTATTTGATATTTAATAAAAGAAAATTTATTCTAGTTTATATATTATTAAATATTAAATTATAAACGTATGATGAGTTCCTTTTCGAAGCGAAGTAATATGATTGACTGTTTCATAAAACGTAGATAAATAAATCTCGTAGACCAGTGTGAAGATTAAGAAACTAGTAAAATGACTTTATATTAAAGTGATCGTATTCATGAATTACCATTCTAGGATATGTTGTAAAGTTATTAGTTTTGTTATCAAGGTGGAGTGTATTGAAAGGAAATGAATGATTATTTCAAAGGACACTGAATAGCGTATGCTTTATAACGTTCGAAATGCAAGGTGAAACAATGTAATAAGGAAATTTAAATACCTGAACATTTTGAAACAAATTTCGAACATTCATTGCTGTAGAATAATGTTTATGCTACTTTCTTTGTAAACTAAACTTGTATTAACTTTTCTGTAATCGCATTGAGGAAGGTTGACAATGAAAGATGAATTTTTGTTTTTATTACCACGATGTTGAAAGTATAATTAATAGATTGTGTATATCTTTAACTATAGATAAGATATGGAAAATGAAACTACTGTTTCATTATTTGTATTTCCAAATGAAAACATTCCCGACATTTCTATACCACAGGAATTTCGTTTTCACGTATGAGAAGTGTACTATGTTCTTTAAGATTTTCACTTACATGTTTAGTAGTTGAAAACAAGTTCAAGCAAGCTTTTCGACAGACTGTAAGTTTTGTTGTGATTCATTCTCTTCGTTAACTGTCTTGTTGTTGTCTTAGATTTAATGGAGTCGGTGAATATTGTAATTACTGTTAATTCTATCGGAGTGTTCAACCAAGTGTATGAAGTGTATGAGAAATTGGTGTGCAAAATAACGGTTATATATGCGTTTACAAACTTCAGCTCGTGAGATACTTGTGGTGGTCAGCACGACTGTATGCTCGGAAAGAAAAAGGCTTCCTGTAATAATAATATAAAGAATAAATACAACATACGAGAACGTTAATGAAAGCTAGTCGTTCTATCTGAATCCATTCATGATTATCAGGCATCAATATGAATACTAAAAACACATAAATATGAAAGCTGTTGTGTTTAGACAAAAATTTAAGGGATTTAAAAATTTCTGGAAATCAACTGGTTACCGTATATTAACAAGTAGTGTCAAGTAATATACGAAAAATCAGTTGACTCAGAAGAAAATAAAAAGATAATTAAATTCACTTGGTTTTGTTTACTTGTATCTTCCAATTGTTGTTTGGGACTGTAATTGATCAGTTTCTTGTTGGCATATATGCATCCTGTGTGAATTGCCTCAATATTGCCTTAAGTTATGAGCTTTATAAGCAAAGATGGTTAGTGGCTAGTTTCGTCCCATTCGGGATTCGTCAGCTGGATGTACCTGCATCTCAGAGTTGGTGTTCACTCCGGGACTCGAAACCAGTATCGTTCGCTTCAAACGCCAATTACTGCATGGTTCCTGTGATTCCTCACTCATCGTTGATGAGAAATTCTTGGGTGTGATGAAAAACTTTAGAAATAAGTGATTGATTAACTCGGTCTTGAATGTGTATGGTCATGTGATAATGAACAAACATTTTGTCCACATAGTTCCCCTTATTATCTTAAAGACACCAAGAAGGAAGATTGGTGCAGAAGAATATGAATTCATTTTATTTCATGAGGCTCTCATCAGCTGCTTATAACCTAAAATATTCGAAAATCAACGTTATTACAGATATTGACATAAGTATACATACGAGGGTGATTAAAGATGAATATATGTATCATGATGTAGCGAAGATTTCAATAGAATTAATAAGGTCATAAAAATTTTTGTTACGGATGACCTTATTCTGCACCAATCTTCGTTCTTGCTGTCTTTAAAACATTTTGTCTTCTGTAATAATTTGTTAATTGGCTGTAAACTGTGCATCTTTGTAATCTGATTAGTTGAAATCTAAGTAGTATAAAGTGACTCGATTGAATATGAGAAATTACATTTTCAAATTTGAATTTTATTTTGAAAAAATAATTCTGTCTAACTGTTCCATCGGAGATTTGATAACAATTTTAACTTCTGTAGAAAAGACACCAATTGTGTTTGACCACCCTGTGAATGTATAGCGAGATAAACGTTTCTCGATCAATTAGCAATGGAATTAGTTGCTTCGGCGTTCACTTCTGTATTAGTGCGTGTACAGTAGGCCTGACCTAACATTTACTATACAAATAAGCACACTGCTTACCAGGAAGGTTGACTTGTGAGAACACTTTGTGGCGCATGTTAAAAAAGATCATGGGGATTCAGGCATTTTCCATAAGATTGAAAATCGAAGTGCACAATATTGGATGCTGCTGTCCCCACACCACTGTTTCAATTTTCTCGTCAGTTAACATGCTCATTCACGAATTATTGTCGTACCTCAAGGAATTGCACTCATGATTGTGATGCACATTACCACACAGTCCAGTAACCTTCAATAAACTTACAATATATGAAGGCCGGGCAGTGAATGTTGGTTGTAGACCTTCATGAACATTATAACAGTATTCAAACTACCTCCTTCGTATAATCGGCTGTGAGGATCCTCTTGGTTTTCTACAGCCGGTTCTTCAACATATAAATTTAATATACGGCTTCCAATCCTAGTGGAAATGAGAGTCGCACGCTGAATAATGGCATTACCTCGCCTTTTCACTAGTTCAGATGGCGCTCTTTAACGCTTCAAGCGATTGGAACACTATCAGATACAACGTATTCAAGAACACGCTATCCGTGTCCGTGATAACTTTCGAGACGATAGAGCTTGTACTTTGTACGTTATTAACGTTCATAATTTGGAGAAAAGTTGATAAGCCGAGAAGTAATTGCATTTTATATCAATTCTCAGAAATGAATAACCAATTATTACCTAAATTCACTTGGTATTATTTGCTTGTATCTTATAAAATTAACTCTGGGATGCAGGTACATCCAGCTGACGAGTCCCAAATAGGATGAAACGCGCGTTCTGGATTCCACTGCTAGCCACCATTCATGTTTACTTATAAAACAATTATTACCTATTTAAAGCTAATTATTTAGTTGGAAGAAACGGAATGAGAAAATTTCACAAACAGGATGGAACAAAGTTTGTTTTAAAAATTACAAGTATCTTCGTGTGTCAAATGCATTCGAATCCCGCGTTCGGGATCGTAGATGCACACTGCTGACTAAATGACCGCCCAGTACTTCCAGGTTTTCTAGGGTGGTCTAGTTTAAATTGACTCATGAATTCAACCATTAAATTACCACAATTTCCACAAACCCTCATTTTGAAAATGATATTCTATTAATTTTGGTTAAGAATAATATTAAGCTTGAATAACATAATTGTCAACTTTATCAATGATCCATTCATCTGTCAGTATTTATTATAAGTACATTAAAGGTTTGTAACTTGTATGCGGATAAATTATCAAACACACATTAGGCCATTTTTAGTAAGGAATGTTGAATGTTTATTAAGACAAAGTATTAATAACCGTCATTTTTACTTACTATAACCTTTAGTAATCTCTATAAAATGTATTAGTGATGAGTTGTGTAGATTCATCTTACAAACTAATTTGCAACTATCTAATGAGATAAACTCATTATCATAATAGATAATTTGGACTAGAGTAAAATACTCAAATAAATTTCCATCTAGTCAAATAGAATGATTTACTTATAAATGGATGTTGTTTACTGAATAATAAGTTACAAGCACTCATTCGAGTCCTGGAATGAACTTTAATTCTGAGATGCAGGTATATCCAGCTGACAAGTTCCAACCGGGACGAATGTCACGTCCTACATTCCATCACTAGTCATCAACCATCTTTGCTTATACCTTTGCTTGTGCCTTAATGACAATATCAAGGCAATTCTCACAGGATATACATATGCTAATAAGAAACTGATTAATCTCTGTCTTAAACATTGTGGAGATAAGCATGACACACTTATTTTGTAAATAGTTTTTGATATTATTTGCATTTATTTTGTTAATTCTCATAGTTTGTACTTTTACCACAAATATTTGTAAAAGTTGTTGTCTTCACTGTTGTTCTCTTTTACTACAATGCTAGTAACCATAGTACCATTCTGTTGATAGAATTTGATGTGCTCTGATAGAACGAGTAAAACATTATTGTGATTAGCACTTAGTTTTCAGTCAATTGCGAGTAATGTTTATCCAATTAGTCTTTTGAATACATAAAGGACTCAATTTTAAGCAATCAAAAACAATGAACAAACAGCAGTTATTTTTAATTTCATTTTACTAAGAAATCTTTGTAGTATGTTTTTGTTATGATGTTTTTATTGATAATTGTACATCAAGTTATTTTTTAACACGAAGAGATACACTTTTATCTAATCATTTTATTGTTCCTTCTAATTAAATGGAAACAGTTATAAAAGAGATAATCTTTCGATGATCTTGGAGATCAGAGCAACAAAATCAGTTTCACTTTTTCCAAACTAAAACTTCATATTCTTTCACTGAATGTTCTTTACCACCCCATGGTAAATATGCACATTCATGGCCACTATGTACCTAAATGACGCAAAAAGTTACGATTAAATAAGTGGACAATATTTTATTTATATTAAAAATAAACACACACAATAATCTGAGTTGAATAGATTATTGACTGACCTCAGACAAATACTGAAATGAAAGTAGCAGTGAAGCGCTATTTCTTCCTATAGTGAGACTCCTCGGCGATATGTAGTCAAGATACTATCTGGGGTCAAGAACAGTATATATATTTGTATTAAGGTCTCTCTAATTACACCTAACCATTAAACCACTGAACTGGTAGCCGATGCTTTATACTTCCAACTTCACTCAATTCGGTAACTTTTCACAACCATCTTCCAACGTCATACATGATGTTTATCCCTTACTCTACTCACCTGATACAAACTATGAAATTCCACAAGCCTCACAACACCGTGTAATGAGAATCAATATATACTTACTTGTGATCAGATTCGTGGTGTAATTCACGTAGTTGTATTGAAAACTCATTACCAGTAAAGTTCAGCCGTGACATAAGTGGATCAAACATCAGTTATAATGAATGATATGGAGAATCAGTTAGAGTTAAACATATAAAATATTGACTTCTTACTCAGTGCTGTAAAGATCAGGCGTTCAACACGGAACTCAAATGTCCTGTTTTGGTCCTCAATGGTGTTCTGAATTCCCTCTGCTGAGATGTCTCATACTAGGACAAGAGAGCTGTCCAGTGTCCCCTAATTTTCACTGGTTATACAACTAAGTTCATTTAGTGATGTAAACTATAGAATTCAATATTCTCCATAACACCATGATACGAATCTGTGTTTCATCCAAGTCCGTGGACTTCATAGTTTCAAACAGCTTTTTTTATTTTCAATACATCAATCGATGGGAGACAGTGTGATACAATTGTTTGAAATGTCCAACATAGAAATTGAAAACATAACGTCCAGAACATGGGATTGTGAAACGTTTAATAAAGATATGCAGATGTGATAATTTCTGGTGTGGTATGGGACATATGAACTGGTAAGTTAACTATAACATAATATATATTTTCATTTTCTATAGTGCTATTCATTCTAGATAGCATTTTTTAGTGTACAACGTATATGGAATTAATCTGATCATGCAGTTCATTAGCATAAGAGAATTCACTAAATGTCTTGTTAAAATAGTTTATCTAATCAGAGAAAACAGGATATAACACAAGTGGTTAGGTCTACTCACCTTTCCAACAGATGGTTCTCCATTAATTGAAGATTTGGCTATGTATAGTGGATCAAAACCTGACATGCCAGCAATGATTGCATTTTTCGGCACACCACCATATGATGCATGTAACCATTCATATCTATACAGAATGAGAATAATCAACAAAGTATTTATGTTCCAGTTATCTAAACCAAATTGAACTATATAATCAATTAATTGATGAGAAGAAAAGAAAAGAAGATCAATACTGGTTTGGGAGGCTCCTCAAAAATAACAGATTGAACAAATATACTCATGATCTCAGCTGTCCACAAAAACCCCTTCTGATACCAATCAGCATATGCTCACTAGTGACTGGCTTCAAGGGGTATTTCTTGGAGTTCTAGTGACAGGCAGTGAACAGTAGATTTCAACCGGGTCTGATGTGAGTGTTGGACCACGGCACAATTTCATGAAATGATTAAAGTTAGACATTAAGCATTCGTGAGAGAGACTGATATGTCCTGGGTTTGAATTTCACAAGGCAGGATCGTGTATGCGCACTGCTGATGAGTCCCTTATTAGGACGAAACGGCCGTCCAGTGCTTCCAGGTTTCCCATGGTGATTTAGCTTCAATTGACTCATGATCTCAACTATTGAAATTACTATAATATCCACAAGAACCCCTTCTGACACAAGTATACATGTTGTTTATTTGGGTTTATCTTTTAAATGTATTAACTTATTTGTAGAGAACAAAATCTGAAATACTTTTCTTTATATAGTAAAGTTAAACGTACATTTGTTCCTAACCAATAATATACATTTGTAACTATTCGCGGCTTAAAAGTACATGTTATTCATATGTGAATACAAAGACCACGGGGATTCTTAAAATATAAGTTAAATATGATATGACAAATTACATATAACGAATCACTTTTAGTTATATATAAACTTAAATATTATTATTTGTGTGGTTAGTTTCAGATTGATTATGGATATTATTAATGAAATTGAAATAACTGGGAACATTTTCTAATATTTCAAATATGTAGATACACTTTACAACAAACAAGCTATTAGGTATCAGTGTCAAGGTTGGACTTGATAGTTTCAAATAAAGTAAGCATTGGGTAGAAAGCTAACAGTAAATATACTTTTGTTATATCCCAATGAGTATAAAATAGTTGTATTTCTGACGTTTCGTGACTTAATGTAAGCCACTTCTTCAGATAAAAGAAATACAATTTTTCTACTCATTAGGATATACCAAAAATATATTTATTCTAACAAGCTACTAGTGGTACTAAAATTAATATCTGTAAACATCGATAAAGCTGAAATTTGATTTTGTTCCATGAAACTGTATGTCCAGTAATATCAGTCAAAATACAAAGTTAAAAACATCACTGAATAACATAAATCCTATGCGTACACAATTATTAATAAAATTCAATACTTTTCAATGTATATACTACTTTGAGATCACTTTTCTTGAAACCTGTCTATCAGAAAATATTTCATTTTACAATATGTGATACAATAACTCATACCAGAAAATGATAAAATGTACCCTTGATGTCCTGAAAACGATGTATCACACAGGACTTCATATTCTTTTGTATTCTTTTCTTCACCATCATATGGATAATAAGCTGCATTATGTCCAGTTGCAGCCTTCCCAGGAATCCATTGACCATCGTGTTTGCAACGAACCACATAGATACCACGAGTAACACTGAGAGCATTATTAGGGACATTTCCATCCTTAGCAGGTACCCATGATAGAGGAATCTGAATCCCTTTGCCTATTTTAGCCATATGAACAAAAACCTCTCTACATTCGAACGGAAAGAAAAACACTTAATATGTTCTCAGTATATGTAATGGGGTAATAATGTGAAAAACGAATTATTTCAGATATATAATAACTTAGTGTGCGTTAGTAACTAACTTCAAGGGGGTTTTGGTGAAAAACCATGGCCAATAGAGTCCAAGCATTTTGAGGATGAGACAATATTACTATTAATAATGATTGTTGATAGCTTAATTTCGTAAAGTGATTGAAGTTAGAAATATAAACCAACGAATTTCAGCTTAGTGGTCTAACAGTTAAGGGCTTGCCACAAAGTCTGAATGTTCATTGTTTGACACCTGGTGGGTGTTACCTATATGCCCAATACTAAGACGAAACAGTTATTCACTTTTTATATGTTCACATTGGTAGTCTGAATAACATCAATTTTTGTTGTCAAACTGAAATATAGATCAACCGAATATGAATTCTATAAACAGATCTAGTCAACCAGGAGATGTTTATTACATCTGGACAGCAAATGAATTAAATCTTATGTGTTACCACTAGCGATACGAGAAATACTGGTCTCATGTTCAAGCATTTATCTCATTTATATATTTTAGTATGGTAGCAGTGTATATGTGGAACTAGTTACAACATAAACAGTAAGCAATAGATGAACTAATGTGAATAAACAATCATTTGATCATTTGTTTGTACAACGTTTTCATTTACATGTAAATGTGATTGTCTTGTTTTATCATCTAATATCAAACTGATGATATTCCCTGACTTATGCCATAAGTATGAATTTTATTTGTGACGATTTGTATATTTTCCGTTGTTTGTATCTCAGTGTGAACATCGACACTAGGAAGCTGGTGCATTAAACTGATGAGTGGCAAATACAGAGAAACATGCTCCCTGGATTGCAATTTTTAGCAGCTGTCTTACTAGAAACTTTCAATGAATTTTATTACGTGCCTAATTTAGACATAAGTTACTAATCGTTATATTGGAAATGTTATTTGTCAATCATTGTATGATCTAATAAAATTTTGATACATGAATGATTCAAATAAACTTCCAAAATATTTAATAGATTAAAAATATCACTTTGGGTTCGACCTCTGGAAGGGTCATCAGGGCGCACTGATGAAGAGTCATATACTAGGCTGAAACAACTGTTTACTGCTCCATGGTTTTTAACTAACATCGACATGTAATAAATACTTAATACATATTAAAACCACCCTCAAAAAAACCTACTTAACGAGATGAAATATTTACTCTAAACATATAAGTAAGTAAATGGGATAAATCGTTGTAAACATATCAATGATTATTAGAAGGGGTTTTGTGGAGATTTTAGAAGTATCATTGATTGAAAGCATGAGTCAATTGAAGTCAGACCACCATTGAAAACCTGGAAGCACTTGACGGCTGTTTCGTCCTATTGTGGGACTCCTCAGCAGTGCGCACCCACGGTTCAGTGATGTAGTTGGTTAAGCGCCTGGCGCAAGACTGATAAGTCCTGTGTCCGAATCTCGCGAGGTGCGTGATCGTGGATGCGCACTGCTGAGGAGCCCGCAGTAGGACGAAACGACCGTCTAGTGCTTCCAGGTTTTTCATCGTGGTCTTGCTACAATTGACTCATGATTTCAATCAGTGAAATATCAGTGATTACTAGTATTAGTAATTATTCTAAACTAACCGTTAGATTAAAAGATATACTATGAAAATGAAATGTGCAAAACTAATAACATACCTTATTGCTTAATGATACCAAAAACACAAAGAACTTATTTAGCAAAATATATATTTATAATGAAATTCTGTTTACTGTCTACCATACAATCATAACACCACATGACTGTTACAAACATAGACATGAAAAGATAGTTATTTAGGTGTTATACATTAAAAATAGGTTTTGTCGAGTTCACCCACATTTATTAACCTAAATCTACAATTTTTTTATGATTCATCTGCACATCTATAATTGTTAATTTACTTAGAATAGAAGTCACATACACAAATAAGCACAAATGGATTAACCAAGAAGTACTTTTGCATCTGTTGTTTTATTGTTATTGTTGTTATTTCATTGTATTATTTGATTTCTTGAGGTAAATGTTGACCTTGGTTCTAATATCAATGCATATTTCATTAATTTAACCACATTGAAAGAAAAAGCTCAACTTTAAAGGACATTCATAATTAAGTAAAGTTAATGTGAATCTTTATGTATTGAATAGTTAGAATATACCATAAGTTTATGAAATGAGTTCTTTACTAATTATTCTCGTGTTCAATAAATCTAATGTGTGGTCATCTATTTTAATTAGTCGGTTATAATCAACATAGAACATGACAGAAATGTACGTTGGTTGAAGTTGTCAAAGCCTGCGAAACCATAATGAGTTGAAATTAATAAGACGAATAGCGAAAGAATCCCAACAGTGTTATGGAAGTGATGATAGAGAAGACAAAAATATTGAGAAGGTGGTTGGAAGAATATATATATATATATATATATGGAAGAGTCCTGGGAAATATAATCTCGATTATGATCAAAGTGAATAGTTCTGTGCAATTATGATGGATTCTGAATTATATCACCCAAAGTCTAAAATCACTGTATTTATTTTCACTATACTTTAGAACCTTGATATTATGTATGCATAGAAGTGAGCTAGTTGACAAAAATAGAAATTTCAGATTCTGAGTTTTTATTATGTAAAATAATGTTCACTTTTACAATGTATGCAAATAACCATGTAATTGATAAGTTGTATTTCATTCTTTATGAGTTAATTGCTAAAAAAAATCATTCGAAAATCATCATCATTAGGTTAAATACAAGCTGTAGAACATGATCTATTCCACACTACAACAGTTAATTAATAATACTGATAATCTTATGAAAGTGAATGTCACTTCAGTGAATATTTGTTTTATGGGTATTGCTAATGTCGTGGTAGGTTTCTTATCGTGAACATACGCCATGTGGAGAAAAATCACAACTCATACAAGCTTGTAAATCTTCATAAATTCACTTCGGTGTAAAATCAATGATATTGTTTTTCAAATGATCGTACCCAGTAAAGTTAAATAAGCGATGGACGGATGGGGGTTTAGTGGTTAGAGGTTAGGTGTTCCTACCTAAGAGAGGAAGTTCTAAGTTCTATTCCCGCCTGCAAGACTGTGGATACTCACTGCTGAGGAGTCCCATTGTAGAACGAAAGAGATGTCCAGTATATCCTGGTTTATAATGGTGGCCTAGCTATGATCAGGTCGTGATTTAAACTACAAATTCTGCAATGTCCATAAATCTTCCCACGATAATAAAACGAACGATTTTTACTATAGCACGATATGAGTAGGCCTCAACATAAACAAGGGGAAAATCAAGGACCTCCAATACAACACGAAGAACACCAACTCAATCACACTTGATGGCGAAACTCTGGAAAATGTAGAATCCTTCACATACCTGGCAAGCATCATCGATGAACGAGGAGCATCAGATGTAGACGTAAAGACGAGGATTGGAAAAGCAAGCGTCGCATTCCTACAATTGAAGAACATATGCAAATTAAAACAACTTTCAACCAGTATAAAAGTCAGAATCTTCAATACGAACGTCGAAACAGTCAGTTCTACTGTACGCAGCTGAAACTTGAAGAACTACTATAACCATCATCAAGAAGGTACAAGTATTTATAAATGGTTGTCTACGCAAGATACTCAACATCCAATGGCCGGATACCATCATCAACAGCCTTCTGTAGGAGAGAACAAATCAGCTTGCAGCTGAGGAAGAAATTAGGAAAAGACGATGGAAATGGATAGAACATACATTACGCAAATCGTCAAACTGCATCATGGGGCAAGTGCTAACTTGGAATCGTGAAGGGAAGCAGAAAAGAGGAAGGCCAAAATAGCACAATGCGTCAGAAAATAGAATCAGATATGAAGAGGATGAATAACAACTGTAAGGAGCTGGAAATGAACTGCCCAGAACAGAGTTGGATGGAGAATGCTGGTGAGCGGCCTATGCTCCTCCATGAGGAGTAACGGGAGTAAGTAAGTAACGATATGAGTTACTTAAATATATTTCATAAACGTTATGATTAAACAGGTTTTGAGTGACACTTTGCTACGTTGGTCAGGTACGTTTAACATATTTTTGTCACTAGAAAACAACTGACACTAGTCTATTGAAGACAGGATCTTTATTTAGAAGTGAAACGTCTTCATAAAGTACGCTTTATTCTCAGTAGTTTTTTTTCAGCTGAATGGTGTAATCATGAAACTTCCATTGTCCTTCTGGACAGCATGATCAACACAAAACTCCAGGTGGAGATAATCTACTTTAATTTCTATACCAAATGACTGACGACTTAATCTGTCGACATTGATTTTGACTGGTTGTTGTTGTTGTTGACGTTTGCCCTATCATTATTTGCATATTCATTTTGATTGATTTCCCATTTTGATCTGATTTTCGATTATATGGTTTTTCTTACTGGCCAATAAACTAGGTCAGTTTCGATGTTTTTCCCGGTTACTAATTGACCTGATTATCAAGCTTAAAAAATTCCTCAGTTTTTCTTATACCGCTCTGTCCAAACTTTAAACATTTTCCCTGTCAAAAGTGTATCCTCAATCGTCCACTTGTTTATGTAGACGAATTTGAAAGGGATGATCATTTTGTCAAATGTAGTGTTTCATGTAACAAATAACTTTTCTGGTTTATACGCTAATATCTATTCTAACCAGCCTCTATAACCTTGTAATTTCTGATATATCCTTTATATATGGTAGGTTGATTTGTTGATTAATTTTCACATTTGATTTCGTCTTTATTGATGAGATTAAATGATATTTTTTCATGAAGTTGCGTGGATAGTTGTTCTTTTGGAAAGCAGTTAGGGCAAACATCAATAACAATCAGTTAACACGAATGTTGATAGAACAAGCCGTCAGTCATTTGATGCAAACATTCAAGTAGATTACATCTATCTGAAGTTTGTGTTAATATTGTTATCCAGGAAGATATAGCATAGCACATCATCCAGTTCAAAGTAAGCTCTACATAAATGATTCATCTGATCCATAAATTTTCTGCACCATCTCGATAAACGTAGGACCAGTATGTTATAGTTTTCATATTATCATAAATCACTGAAAATAGCAACGTTTATCCAATCATAAGAAATTGCTCATTATTTTTGAGGGTTTTTACTGGTAAAAATGATTTTTAAAAAAATATATCAGCCTAATAAAGTTGATGAATATCAACATTCACTAGTTATATGAATAACATACTGACATTTGAAGCAAATGTTTACTCTTTTGAAGTCTCAACATGAATATTCATATTTAGATCCAAGGAAATCCTGATAATATCGTCTCAAATACAGATCAAAATATACATCTTCCATCAATTCCTCCTGTTTATCACTGTAGCGGTAAATAAATCCCCAAAATAAATAGCTCCGTAAGTTTTCGACATTGGATGCTGACCAGATTAGTTTTAGTGGGGGGCTTAGCGACATTTCGCTGGCCCTACATCACCACGTTTAACAATAGATAATGTAATATTATTATAGAATAAAGTACATTGAACTTTTGTTATTATTTCACAGATTATATGTTATTTTTATTATTAAAACAAAGGAATTTATGAATAAGGAATGTTATTACTAAATTTAGTTTACTTTTATGCTTTGAATTAACAAAGAAAACAGTAAATACAATAATTATAGTGTGGTATGTGCTACTTATATTGGCAAAAGTAGTAGATGATGTTAGTCGTGAACAAAAGGTCTGGCAGTAGAGAGACAAGAGGATCGAACAGTAAAGAATGGAAACAGGATGCAATTTGTATGAAAATGCAAGGACAATGAAGTCTGAGTCATCATGAGACAATCGGTGAACATTTTGCAAATTACGTATTTACTATATGAATGTTAGATTTTATTAACAAGTACTGTAATTTTGTGTCAAATACATTCGATTGTCCCCACCCGTGTTCTTATTCACTACAATCGTAATAATACAATATGTACATTAATACAACATAGAAGTAAACACTTAAAATAGTATGAAACAGATCATTCTTATTCAGGTAATACAAAACTATACAGGTATCTCATATACGTTTTCATTTTAATCAGTTAACTAATAATAAAACATAATCATATGTATCAGAAGAGGTTTTGTGGAGTTTGTATTAATTTCAGTAGTTGAGATCATGATTCACTTGAAGGTAGACCACTATGGGAAACCTAAAGGAACTGGACAGCCGTTCCGTCCTACTGCGGGACCTCTTAGCAGTGCGCATCTACGACCTTGCCTCGCGGGATTCGAACCCAGGACCTACTGGTCTCGCGCGCGAGCGCTTAACCAACTAGACCACTGAGCCAGTAACCGATGGTGTTAATGTCTAACTTCAACTAATCCACAAAATTGAGAGACATATCAACCATTGTCATCAATGAGTTACTATCTCACAACTGACCCCGTTGAACTCCACTGGTCACTACTTCTCACTAGAAATGAGGAGTCCCACAATAGGACGGGACGGCCATCCAGTGCTTCCAGGTATTCCATGGTGGTTTAGCTTCAATTGACTCATGATCTCAACTGTTGACGTTAAATCGAGTTAGCGAATAACGGAATTAAATAAGTCAAACGTGAGAATTAAGTATGAATACGTACATTTCGTACACTCATTCATCTGAAAAGACAATCAAAGGAACTAAGTGAAGGAAGCGAAATGGATCAGAGAAGGCGTGTGAGCCAACTTGTTTTGATCAAGCGCGTCTCAATGTTTATATTTAGACAAAGATAAATTACAGACACATAATGAATAGACTAAGCAATCAGCGCACATACGATCATACAAAAAACGGTAGGGTTAATGAGCGAATAATTGACTAGCTCAAAATGTGTCTTGAGAAAAATGAGTAGGTCCTGG